ATCGAAACAACATCTGATACACAAATTTAATAATACTTTTAGATATTTGGATGATATTTTGGCTCTCAATAATGACGACTTCAGTACGTATACTAAAGAAATTTATCCTGTTGAACTTACTTTAAATAAAGCTAATACTAACAATGACCACTGCCCTTTCCTCGATCTTGATATCTATATCATTAACGGAAAGCTTAATACTAAAATATATGATAAAAGAGATGATTTTTCATTTCCTATCGTTAATTATCCATTTTTAGATGGTGACGTTCCCTTGTCACCATCTTACGGTGTTTATATATCTCAACTTGTACGATTCGCTCGTGTATGTAACAATGTTTTAGATTTTAACGAGAGAAATTTATGTATTACTGAAAAATTATTACACCAGGGTTTTCGATATCACAAACTAGTCAAAACATTTACTAAATTTTATCATCGGTATAAGGACATCATTCGTAAATATAGCTCAACATGCAGACTTCTTATACGTTCAGGTATTTCACATCCAATTTTTTATGGAAATATTCTTTATAAAGCACAAAAATGTCAGTATTCACCTCTGAAACTAACAAAACCTTTAAATAGACTTATCAAGAAGGGATATAGTTACGATACTGTTGTCAGGTCATTAAAGATTGCATATTTTGGCGTTAATATTGATTCACTTATAGGGTCTTTGCATCGGCACTAAACACATTTATTTAAAAACCAGTTGTTGGCATGACACGGGTTATGTTCTTCTCATATATGTTATGATGGTATGATACTAAACCCCTAACGGGAAGGATTGTGCCTGATATTCATATGATGAAGACATAATCTTTCAATCAGTTTAATTGAAGTCTGGAGCTGGCATGTCAGTTAACTGCTAGTAGTCTGTTGTTATTTATGTATTATTGTCATTTTGTTTATTTTCTTTGGTTACATCTTCTGACATCAGACTCGGACTTCTCTTGAACTGAATTTTAATGTGCGTATTGTTATGTGTTTACTTTTCTACATTGGCTAGAGGTATAGGGGGAGGGTTGAGATCTCATAAACATGTTTAACCCCGCCGCATTTTTGCGCCTGTCCCAAGTCAGGAGCCTCTAGCCTTTGTTAGTCTTGTATTATTTTTAATTTTAGTTTCTTGTGTACAATTTGGAGTTTAGTATGGCGTTCATTATCACTGAACTAGTATATATATTTGTTTAGGGGCCAGCTGAAGGACGCCTCCGGGTGCGGGAATTTCTCGCTGCATTGAAGACCTGTTGGTGACCTTCTGCTGTTGTCTGTTCTATGGTCGGGTTGTTGTCTCTTTGACACATTCCCCATTTCCATTCTCAATTTTATTCAAAGATTCTTTTATATTGAATGTTTCTGTTACAATGTAGCAATGCCGTTTTAAGAACACCGACAGGCAAAATAGTAATCTCAGGTCAAGCAAACCAGTCATCTGTCAGGCAAACCAGTCATCTGTCAGGCAAACTGGTTATCTGTCAGGCAAACCAGCCATCTGTCAGGCAAATAAATAAACAAGTAAATAAGCAACAAAATTAGGAATTTGTTAGTATAAAACATTAATAATTAGGAGTTGTTATAGAGTGGCATATTCAAATATGCACAGAAAGAAGTAAAGGGCACTAGGTTTAAACTATATCTGAATAAATAAAAATAAGCATTTTTTTTTAAAATATTTTCTAACCAAATAATTAGAATATAATTTTAGGATGAGGGTCTCAACCTTCATCCTCACGTTGGTAGACAAAGTATATATATGACATATATGGCAAATTAATGTCATGCACCATCATTGTGCTTTGAACATTAAAATATTTTATGGAATATAAAATATAACATAATACACATAACTTATAAGAAATGAATAGTATATATTTCACAAAATTATATTATTTTTATCTAAATATATGTCTCTATTTCTATGAAAGTTAGTCGGTTTAGAGTATGAACTAGAGAGGCCCTCATAGGGGGTCCCACTAATCACATAATCACCATTTTTCCCCGAATTTGGTAATCAGAAAATGATTTTCTTTAGTAATCAAATAATCATGAACTAAAAGCTTGGTAATCATTTAATAATATAATTTAATTTAAAATGTTTAATAACAAAAAAGCTTCAACTCTTGGTCTTCTCTGGCATGTCTTAAATTGCTCGTTTACTTCTTCTATCAATTTTTTTTAGGAAGCTCTTCTTCCTCATCCATCTCCTCGGGTGAAACAGAATCACCTGCATGCATCTTTTGCTGATGGAAAACTGTTGTGTACAATTCTGATGTAAGTATAATTGTATCTGATCTTCATTCTCAACATCTTCAAGCTCTATTGTTCCTAAGGGAGCAACCATTTGAGTCTCTCGGATGGGGCAGGTATTTGTACCCCAAGTCCATCCTTTTTTTAAACAGACCAGAAAACATGCCTTTATTCGTGGCCACTCACAAACACAATTATATTTTCAACATTTATTAAAACATTTTTTTTACACTTTTATAGTTTTATGTTGTTTTAAAATATTAATTTAACTTGAATTTATACGAGTTCACTAAATAATCATGTATATACCAAGCCAAGTCAGTTTATATCTTGTTTCTCGCCTGACTATTCAAAAGGCCAGGAGAGCTTTGGCCATCATTTGTCGTCTTTGATAGATCAGGTTGACTGATAAGCTGTCTATATAAAGTAATGGGACAATGGCATGAAGACATCACCAAATCACCCATATGCAACACACTAAAAGACATCCAGAGCTTACCACATGGTCTTCAACTGACAGGAATTACCCACCAACAGGCAGTCAGCTCTGGTTGGCTCTAAACACTAATCCAAGGGCACAGCAAAATGTCAAATATCCAATTAAAATTGGTTGACATGGGAGGAAACATTGGAATTTCTCTTTTTTTCAAGTCTCTGCCTTGAACATGTTGAGGGAGGAAAAATTTTCAAGACACCCTTCCTAAGACATAAAAATTTCAATCCCCTCAATATTTTTCAATACATTTATTCTTTATAACAAAAATAAAGAGAGGTGGTATGATTGCCAATGAGACAACTATCCACCAAAGTCCAAATGAAGTGGTTGTAAGCAATTGTAGGCAACCGTACGACCTTCAACAATGAGAAAAACCCATACGGTATAGTTGGCTATAAAAGGCCCTAACAAGAAAAATATGAAACAATTTTATTGAGAAAAAATAACACAGTAGTTTACGAAAAACAAATATGACAGACATCAACCAACTACAACCACTGAACTACAGGCTCCTGACTTGGGACAGGCACATACAGTATGTGGCGGTGTTAAACATGTTTGTTAGCGCTCAACCCTCTCCTAACCTGGGACAGTTTTGTTACAGCACAAAATAAGAACAAATAATAAAAATCAGTTGAAAAGGGCTTAGCTCATCAGATCGATACAAAACAGAAAACATCTAACAAAAACACAGACCGGACGTGGCAGGGTATTTATACATCCTTAAGAAACAAAAAAGGACACAAAGTACAGATCTGAGAGTAATCGCAGTTTCTGACAGCTAGTTCAAATCCAATAACAACTAATAAAAAAATAATTTATCTGAGACTAAAATATCAATCAGTACACACCGAACATCTAATAGATTATGTGTAAAGACGTCATTTAACAGTCAGAAAAGACATGACCTTGCAATTGTGCAATGCCAAAATATAGGTATCAACAGATTGTATAGTACCTTGATGTGTATAACAATTATATTAAGTATGATTTTAATTTATTGATAACAAAATCAATATTTATACCAATAAAAAACAATATTCAAAGATATGATAACAGTGTGCAATTGGTAACCTTTTAAAATAAGTTTTTTTAAATGATTGATAAGTTTACCCGGATCGTTTTTAATTTACATGCATACAATTTCTATTTATATTATTTTTGATAAATACAATATTGCATAAGTAGTGGAAATAGATCTTCAAGTGAGAGAATGTGTTTGTGACTTCAGGGAACATTATTTGGATATAGATATAAGAAGATATGCATGTTATGGTCTCATTGAGATTTCCCAGACCTTCATTTAGCACATTTTTCAAATCCTTTATTAAAGAATTAAGCTAGTAAATTAACTTCAGAATAAAATACTAAATTGGACGAACCAAACTAATTAAAATATATATCTCCGATTTCGTTATACTTATATGTGTAATAGCACGTTAATATAGATATGGGGTTTGAATACGATTGCTGGACGAACGCGTTCAATCTTAGAATCAAAAGAAGACTTACAAAAAAATATTAAACAAATTTGGAGAGTACTGTAATATATGAAGATTAAAGGTAAATGTTAATAAAACCAAAGTCATGGTATTTTCAAGGGGAAGGGCTAGTGCAGATTTGAAGTTTTCTTTAAATGCATGGGACAGATATATATAGATATAGCTCATGAATTTAACTATCTTTGAAATACTATTAAGCAGGACCGGCAATTTCAGTAAAGCAATTAAAAAGCAAGCAGAGAAGGCAACAAAAGCAATGTATGAGGTTTTAAAAAGAGGGCGCATTCATAATTTATCAATCGAATGTCAAGTAGAACTGTTAAATAAAATGGTAAAGCCAATTCTTTTGTATGGCTCAGATGTATTGGGATTTTGTAAAAATATTCAATGCATCGAAAGGGTACAATTACGATTTTGTAAAGTTGAACTTTATCCACTCCAATTTATATGATTTATGTTGAACTTGGCATTTACCCTGTTCAACTAGTTATCAAACTAATTAAAAAATGATTGCATATTGTACACGACTTTTATCTGGAAAGGATTCAAAACTATCTTATTTAGCGTTTCAATTATTATACAAATTGTCGGTCAACAATCATTTTGAATCGCCATGGTAAAAGTTTATAAGTAATGTTTTCATTAGATTACTCTCACTTTATTTTTACAATATTAATCACTTTGTTTTTACAATATTAAACACAAAAAGGACAACGAGATGGATCGTGTGTATATAATCTATCCTTTATTCAAGATTGATTCAGATGGCGCTTTTTAATCGTTTCCTGTTTATCCACAGAATACGACGAACAAGCGTGAAAATTTATAACTGACTCGTTACTTTGTGGAGAGTTTATACCTCAAACATTTCATAGGTATTGCCCAATCAAAAAGTCCTTTGTCTCATCTTATTATTTTAAAACAAAACAATTTCAGAAAGTCTCCTCGATACTCTAATGATGTTCAAATCAAATCGAACTTGCAACTGTGTCAAAATTTCTAACAATCAAATTATCAATAGGACCTTTATGCATACATTTTGTACATGTAGACCAAGGATTTGTATAGTCTCACTCTACAAATCCTTGACGTAGACAAACCAAAAGTGAAATTACTTATAGATCGGCTTTGTTAGATGAAAAAGATCGATTCTGCAGTATCAATCCTTTGATCATTTTATTGCAATTAAATATATTCAATCTTAGACTTAGGTTCATGTTTAAAAGAATGAAATTATATACAGGCTACACCTAAGTCTGATAACTTATTTCATTTGTCAGAATGTCTGTTCCTTTTTTTAACATAAGTTAAGGGAACAGACTTACCAGACTAAAAAAATGTAAAAAATGGCCATGTTTACACCAGCATTTTTACAGGATTGAAATTAAATAATTGAGAATGATTTAAATGGTAGCAGTGTCTAATTTTGTAACTTTACAAAGCATTCTTTTTAATATTTAATAGATTTCTATATAGTCTGGAATAGCCATTTAATAGGTGGATATTACATGTACCTCAATTCACATATACACACAATTCTGTTAATTTCAATTGTCTGGTATTCCATTCATTACATTAACATATTGTTCAATGAAAGGACCAACCTGCCAGCATAGTAATCTGTCATTTGATATACTGGAATAACAAATTAATATATATGTTATTTTCTTCATAATGTATAAACATTAATTGTGTGTGTCCAAAGTGCATTTCTTGATAAATCTTCAAGATTTTTTTTTTAAATTCTTTAAATGAAATTTGCATGTTGTTTTTGCTAATTTCATCTCCAGCTTTGATGTTTGCTCATTAATATTAAGGACATGTAGTTGATGCATTAATTTCAATTTAAGGAGTTTAACTCCGCTGACTGGTCTCATTTTTGTGGCGATTGACCTAATGATATGTGCAATGACAATTGACATGTGGGGGAGGGGGATGTTTTGTTACCTTCTATGGCAGACGAACTTTGAGATTGGTGCATTCTCACATCTAATGCCGCACTTCGTGATAGAAATTAAGAAAACTGACGCCTCCCTACTTGACGTACATAGAAAGTGTGAATTTTCAGCTCTTAAAGTTATTGTTATTTTTCTGTCATTTCCTTATTTCTTACAACACTGGAGCTGCTTGCTGGTCTAGCATTATCTGAATCAAAATATGTATTGACACAGATTATGCTCATCAGTATAAACTTCTGGCATTGAATGTTTAAATGGACAGAAAGAAACCAAGGAACAGAAATAATTTGAATTTCTGCTTTATGCCAAATTATGGTTAAATTTTACCGTGGGTAATACAAGGGAAAAAACCCTTGTGACAGAAACTAACTATAAACATGGTTATTACTAAGGCTAGTACATGAGGCCTGGACTCATTATTTTCAAACCTGTGAGTCCAATGATGCATCAAATTGTTAAATGTTGTATCCGTTGAGCCAAGATATCATTTTATAGCATAAGTTTAAAATTAATCTAAATTTGATGTCATTTACTTGTTCTCTTTTATAATTGAGACTTCAATAATAAATTATTATAAATTATATGATTTCAGTTCTTGTTTGCTGATAAAGCAAAAAACATTTGTTACAAATTCACAAAGATATCATGATTGATATCAACAAAATTGCTGGACAAGATCTTAGAAGCTGATGCCTACATAACATTTGTATGTGTCTATTGTTTAGATTTCTTCTTTTTTGAAACCACAAATTTCATGATCTGTCATTTCCTAATCAAATCATGCCCTAAGCATGCTTAGCATGCTGATTGTCTTAAGCACTCCCAAGACTCCTCACCTATTTTTTGTGCCTCTTCCTGCAGACATTTCTCTTTTTGCTTTATGTCAATCTAACCCCTGGATTTTATATATTTGACATGATAAATGTAACTTATTCTAAACTGATGCCTTGAACTTGTGTATATGATTGAAACAGAAAGAAAATCAGTAAACAAATATTTTTGCAGATGACCAATTCAACAAGTTTAGATTACAATTTATTTTGAATTTGATCAACACAGTTTTGATATGTTCAGTGCTGGCCAAGATCATGAAGATAGTTTAAATTAAAATTTTCAAGTTCTTTGAATGTTAGTTCGTGCACATTTTGTTTTATCTTTTTAGATGACCTGATTTGCAGAGTTAACAATCAGTGATTATGGCACCAAACAACCCATTACCAATATGGGGTAATGAAAAGACAATGAATTTAAATCCATTAATTTTAACTAACATACAGTCATCACCTTACTTTAAAGTAAATTTATATGAACTGAAGACGTACCATGAAGTTATAGACGAAATATATTATAGAGTAAGTATATGCTGTAGTATATATTGCACTTGTCTGTCAATATTGACATGCATGAATAACTCAACTTCTTTTGGTAAAGATTGCAGACAATGCCGACAAAACCTGTATATAACTGGCTTGATAGCTATAGTGAGTAAAGCAAGTTCAGCAACATATATTTTAACTAAAAAATTTAAATAATAAATTTCCAAAGTTAAAATCCTTTATAACCAAGCTTTTGTTGAGTAAAAAATGCACCTTATGGTTTATTGTTATGAATAGAAGTATTGTTTGTTTTTGAAATATGAAATATTAAATTAAAATAGTTTGTTGCTTAACTTTTTTTACTCAGTATATATCAATCAACTTTAGTGCAGTTGGGTGAATTTTTTTTTATCACGGCCATGACCATGTCAATCAATGATTAATAATATTACTCAAATACTAAAGTTATAAAATAATGCTGATGCATATACCTATAAACTTTTGTCAAGAATTAAAATTATTTTATCAGCAATTACAAGTTGTGCATGGCATATGAATCTTATTGATCTGTTCTTAAAAAAATAGATGGTAAAATTCAACTACATTTATAGACAAAGGAAGATAACTTAAATTAAAAATATTTTCTAAATGTGTTCCATTGAAATTCAATGTTTAATTTAAGTTCACATTGCATGAAAGCAATCTTGAATCTTTAGCTTCAGTGCTAAAAACCACTTTTATAATCTGTTGAGTCTCTCACTAGTTTAATGTACATATATGTTGCATTTTGAATGTCTTCATTTTAAGACTTGTTCTCATGTCATAAAAACAAACTGATTCACTTTGTTCTCTATTTGTTTCTCCTAAACAAACTACTTTACTAGCTGAAAGTCACTGAAAGTGACAGTTTAATTGCAAGAAAAGATTTTATCTGTGATATTTTGTGAAATAAGTAAAATTCAAGTATAAGTACTCTATAAATGCACAGTTTCCCTGTCTTACAAATTTATTCCAGTCATAGACTTTGCAGACCTCATATCCAAATATGTAATATATTTATACCACCATCAATACCACCTGGGATGAGTTTATCCATAGTAAAGGTGACTTTGTAAGAAAGGATGATGTGATAGTTCTTGAAATCTATCTGGCCTTCTGACATGCAAGGCAAAATTTGGCCCGCTAGACAGGCTCTTGCATGTTATCAAAGAAATATCTTGACTAAAGAAATGATTGCAAAACTGTTGTTAATTATATTGTTAGTCAAACAGTATGTATTTTAAACCAGATAAATGTAATTTTAGAGGTTGTCTGACACACAGTCTTGTAATTTGGACACAATGTATGTCTTTGATTTAAGGATTTGATAATACATGTATGTACAGTGATTCCTTGCCCTGCTTTGGCTATACTTTTACTCTTTTTGTTTTATAAGCTCTTCATTTTTTGGAATAGATTTTGGACTTTGATATAGTTTGGCCTCGAGCATCTCTGAAGAGACATTTATTGTCAAATTGCGCATCTGGTGCAGTATATTTGGTAGCGTTAATGTTATTAAGAAAATTTGCCTTGTAATTTGTGGTGATAGTATTCACCCCACAACTCCATTTATGTATAATATTAAAGAAATTTATTGTTTTCAGGTTGATCATTTAGAACCATGGGAGAAGGGCAGCAGGAAAACTGCAGGACAAACAGGCATGTGTGGTGGGGTATGTGTTTAGATAATTAAATAAGGGAACATGATATTGCTGCTTACTGAGTTAAAAAAAGTTAGCAAATCAATATGTTTAATTTTATATTTCAAAAATAAACTATTTTTCCTAGTATAACAAGAAATAGAATATTGTAGCAAAGAAAAGAAACCATAAAGTGCAATTTTTACTCTAGCAGAACAATTAATAAAATTTATTTCCGCAAATTTGTTTCGCCTTAAACAATGAGAAAACACCATAAATGTATAGTCGGCTTCAAAAGGCCCTGACATGAAATAAGTAAATTGATTTGCTGCATGCAACGGTTTAAAATTGAAATGATTCAAAATTGCAAATTCTGCAGGAATTGCAAATTCCACAGGAATGACCATTCAAGCTTCGATTTTGAGAAAAAGACTGTAAAAGTGAAAAATTTGTACAAAAAAAGAAATTATATACATTGTATTTTCTGTTGTATGTTTAGGTCAGGGGAGTTGGAGCAGGAGGAATTGTTTCTAGTGCTTATTGTTTATTATACAAATTATTCACCCTGAGACTAACCAGAAAACAAGTCAATGGATTGATAGCACACTCAGATTCACCTTATATTAGAGGTCTTGGGTTTATGTACATACGGTAAGTAAGATCGGCTACAAACGCAATGTCTTATATAAAATCCAAGGGTCTCCAAGAATATTATACAAATGGTAAGAATTCATTTTTGAGTAAAAAAATACAGAAATGCGGTGGCTTAATGCATGACAGCAATTATTAATAAGGATAACAATTTTCTCTCTCCAATACATGTGACTTATGTAGAGTTTGCATGTCCCAAACTTTGCAGGAAGCCGTATAGGCCTAAAGACTTGAAATGAAAAGATTAGGGCCTATTCCTTTATTGGGGATCAGCACACCAGGCAAAGATAGCCAAATTCTTGCCCTAGAATTTCAGATTTTGCTTTCAATATGCAGAGCTAGGATTTTATTGTCATAGATTCTCCATGCTATACACAACTTACTGGCAGGTTCAGGATAGTTATTCGAATGTAAAGTTTGACATAATTTCAACTCTGGTGGAAAAAGTAAATATTGGTTTAAAGCATAAATTTTGCCTGACAATAAGCCACTAAAAGACCTGACTGAAATTTTTGGTAAAAGGTTCTTTTTCATAGCACACATCAAACACATGGACCTGTACTATAAAATGGGGAAATTAATGCAAGCAACTATTGTTGATTCCTGACAAACATCCAAATTAAGGCATTAATACCATGAAGTACTGTAATCTTGGAATTTTCGCGCCATCTTTTTTTCGTGATTTTCCGACAAAACCTAGATTCGCGCCGTTTAGAATTCGCGATGTATCGGTGTCCTACATAATTTTTTTTAGAAATGATTTGGATAATGTACAGTTTTAATACATGTATTTAAATCAATAGATAAAACCAATCAGAAATCCTTTTTGTCTGTTCAGATTTAAATATATTAGCCTGCTTCAAATATTATGTTTGCTTTTAAAAACACATTCACGATAAACAGTGAGATATGACCTAATTAAGAGTGAATTAAATGCTGACAGAATTACTGGTAATTAGTAAATCTTTTGATCTAATTGATCTGTGCAACAGATATAAAAGATAATCATTTTAAAAATAATTGACAGGTGTCATTTACATAAATGCAACAATAGTTGATTATTCAGCAATATCTGTAATGTCCTTTTGCTACATGAGATAAACATTATCTTTTCTTTAAAAGCAAAGTTATAATTTGCGGTATAAATATGTCGTCTTTAAAACCGATCTTTTCAATTAGTAATCTACATATCCTATTGACAAACGATCATGTATGGTCTTCCTGTTTGTGTCTGGATTTCCTTGAAATATTCGCAATCGTTTTATTTTCGCGTTGCAACTCTTACCGCGAATAAAGCGAAAATAAAACTGCTGGAAAATTTCCCTGTTTACAGTAATAAAAATTTATAATTTACATAAAATTGTGAGATTTTTTACTGTATATTGAACATCCTTTAAAAGTGTTTGCATTACATTCTTAGTCAACAGTACTTGGGTATCTCTAACTTAGGATAAGTTATTTATTTTCAAAATTAAATGTATATTTTGAAATTAATGAATATAATTTATACATGTTTACCTGCAGTACTGTACAGAAAGAGAAATAAAACTTTTTAAACAGAAGTCTGGTAGATATGGAATAAAAATTTGATTTTGAGATTCCAATGATATAGCATTGAAGAAGAGTATCATTAATAAGTTTATAAATCTATTCTCAGGTATACACAAGATCCCAAAGAACTATGGGATTGGTTTGAGGATTATTTAGATGATGAAGAGGTGAGTCAAAACACACCAACAAAAATGTCAGACATTCAATAAGAAAATCCTGCAGTTCTAAAATCAATTCTGTTGTACAAATATTTATAGAGTTTTGTTTAAGAATGTGATTCTATGTAGTATTTAAAAAATTACAATGTGTTGGGAAATTGTAGAGTACAAATGTGGTATACTGAAGATGAAAAAAAAAGTGAAAACGTAGATCAATTAAATGTAATTTTAAACAGAGGTACAAATGTACTAGGCAATTACTTGCAGTTCACTTAATTACAAATATTTGTGAAATTTAGTTATATAAGTCCAAAATGAACTGCAGGTTAACATTCATACACTAAAATCACACACACAAACATAAAAATGGAATGTCAGAGTCCAGCATTATTTAGTGGTGAGTATACTGTAACTTTAAGTTTTTTCTTCCTTTGGGAAAGGGGGAGTGGAGGGAGTTACTCTATTGTCAAGGTTATTTTGGGAGGAAGTGGATATAGTTTAAAAAAATTCAAATTGAGATTAAATTTATATGTATTCAGAATTTTATTACAGTATCCTTGACTTAAATTACATTTTTTTTAGTTGGGATAGGGAGAATGGTCAAGGAAATAACATCTAATAACAATATCTGTAAAAGTAAAAAAAGCCATTTAATTATGCATTATGTATGTATAATGTATCACGGTGTTCAAGACATTTCCATGAAATTGTACTCTATACTAATTTTCATGTATGCCACAGAATATTTTGAAATATTTTGAAAAAATCATATAAAAGCAATCTAATATTTAGCAGCTGGTTAAAATAAGAAACTTATGAATTTGGCTAAAACTTTCTCTTTAAAGTTTGTGAAGTGGGTTTAACAATTATCTTAATATTAAAAGAACTTTTTCTTTTGTAGAATGTATTATAGTGTGTTTTCAGGGGAGTTGCTCTAGTTGCCAACAAGTGGTTAGCTCTGACAGAGAAAGGCTGCTGGACCTCAACTAGAGGTTATAATATGAGCCCAAAAACAGTTATTTATATATATATCTTTTTAGAACTTGTACAGTATAGTAATAGTTTCATTTGGTTGATTGATTTTAATTTTTTTTCATAAAGTTCATATACTGGTACATAAATGATGCATTAAATGATATGTTTATCTCTAACAAAAAAAAAGTAAGTTATAAACAACTATTTAAAGCAAACAAACAAGACAGAACATAATTTGTCGATAACAAATAATGTGATATTTTGACAACACACGTCTCATTGCTAAAACTAAAAAGAATATCGTTAAAAACCTGGAGCTAACAGCAAAACAGTGAAAAATGTAGGGAATATTTGTGTTAATATACCAACATCAAACATTGGTAGTAAACTAAAATTGTTTATGAATCAATTTTCAGGTGAATATAATTTTGCTAGATATCCTCAAACAAGTATAAAATTACGTTTTTTTGCTTTGTTCTCCGTAACTAAAAAATGTTGCTTCATGACAATAAGTACCAACATCCATTTGTGTTCCCTTGACTCACTGCTAAACAATGGAACCAGCTAGAACATTATCTTTTGTGGCGGAAACAAAATGATCACTTAGTGATAATTTGAAGTATGAAATTTATTGAAGATGGTTTTCAGTGAGTTCATGGAAGTATCTGTTTTGGAAAAAAATGTTTTGTTGAAATTGAATGTATACAGGGCTTGGTTTACTTTCAATTCTTACCACAGGTAGCTAGAGCAAAACCCAAGGTACTTGTTATGTTTTTCTGGTATTGACCATATCAATGTCTTTTACAGGAAATTGATGTTAAGGCTGGAGGCGGACATAAAATAACCATTGGTCATATGGTACGACAATGTCTAGTTAAACTAGAATGGTACAGTACTCTATTTCCCAGAATTCCTGTGCCTGTTCAGAAAAGTATAATGGAGAAAATAAAGGAAAACCCACCCAAACAGGAGGAAGAAGAACACAGTTCAAGGAAAGGATCCCCTAAACATATACCTGATGGTGAATTATCATTTGGAGAAGCTGAAAAACATGCTCAGAGACGTCCCAGGTAATTCAATAATTTTTAAAAAGTGTCACTGAAAAATAATTTTGTAAATAAAATTGAGAATGTGTCCATGGGACACAGATGATGCCCCAGCTTGCATATAACTTTACAATGAGGCATAACTCCAGAATGATATAAGTGACACCACCCAAATTCGAACTTGATCTGAGTTTTGTGGTAATAAGCATTGTGTATAAGTTTCATAACATTTGGTTGAAGCAAACTAAAGTTAGAGAACGGAAGCGGAAAATTCAGCAGTTTTTATACGACCGCAAAAAAATTTTGTGGTCGTATATTGGTATGACGTTGGCGTCGTCGTCGTCGTCCGAATACACATTGGTTTTCGCACTCTAACTTTAGTTTAAGTGAATGGATCTTTTTGAAATTTGACCATAAGGTTAAATACCACAAAAGGAAGGTTGGGATTGATTTTGGGGGTTATGGTACCAACAGTTAAGGAATTAGGGGCCAAAAAGGGGCCAAAAATAAGCATTTTCTAGTTTCCAGACAATAACTGTGGAACGGTGTATGGATCTCTCTGAAATTATACTACAAGTTTCCATACCACAAAGGGATGGTTAGGATTTGCTTTGGGGGGTTATGGCTCAAACCGTTTAGGAATTAGGGGCAAAAAAGGGGGAAAAACAAGGTTGTCCTGGTTAATGGACAAATACTTTAGTACAAAACATAATTTAAAGCAGTGTAAGGGAGATAAATCAAATACATCATTGAAATTATCTCCCTTACACTGCTTTTAAATTATGTATAAAGTAATGGTTAATGAACAATAAAGATAATTTAAAACAGTGTAAGGGAGGTAATCCAAATACAACGTTTTGGTTACTTCCCTTACACTGCTTTTAAATTATGTTTAAAGAAATGCATATTTATAAAGGAAGACCAGTAAAAATATCTGCAAATGTTGCATCTTTTTTTTTACAAAAAAATCCATATGAAAGATTTGACACTATATTTTTAATTCTATTATAAAATAGATTAAGTTAGCACTATGGTAAATTTAAATGGGTAATTATGGTTGCCAACTCCATTGGAAATTTGAATTCAGATTTTGACCATATCTTGAGGGAAAGAATTTTTTTGGGGAAAAAAGGGGGGGGATAAAAAGAAATTGTGGGGGGTCAATTTTTTCTCATTTCAGATTTCAGAAATTAAAAAGAATTATTCTTCAAATATTTTTTTTTTTTCAAATTTCAAATATTGAAAAATTTCAAGAAGTAATCTTTAATTGCACAGTATGGCGCATTAGATTTGTAAAATCTTTGATCACATTTATTTATTTGTTATGCCGAATCTAACAGTGTATTTAGATTTTTAATTTTGGGTCCAGTTTTCAAATTGGTCTACATTAAGGTCCAAAGGGTCCAAAATTAAACTTTGTTTGATTTTAGCAAAAATTGAATAAATGAGGTTCTTTGATATGCTGAATCTAAACATGTATTTAGATTTTTGATTTTTGGACCAGTTTTCAAGTTGGTCCAAATTGGGGTCCAAAATTAAATTTTGTTTGATTTCAACAAAAATTGAATATATGGGGTTCTTTGATATGCTGAATCTAACCATGTATTTAGATTTTTTATTTGTGGACCCCGTTATCAAATTGGTTCATATTGAGGTCAAAAGGGTCCAAAATTAAACTTTGTTTGATTTCATCTAAAATTGAATTATTAGGGTTCTTTGATATTCCAAATCTAACCGTGTATTTAGATTTTTAATTTTGGGTCGTTTTTTAAATTGGTCTACATTAAGGTCCAAAGGGTCCAAAATTAAACTTAGTTTGATTTTTACAAAAATTGAATTCTTGGGGTTCTTTGATATGCTGAATCTAAACATGTGTTTAGATTTTTGATAATGGGCCCAGTTTTCAAGTTGGTCCAAGATAGGGTCCAGTATTTAAACTTTGTTTGATTTCAACAAAAATTGAATATATGGGGTTCTTTGATATGCTGAATCTAAACATGTATTTAGATTTTTGATTATGGGCCCAGTTTTCAAGTTGGTCCAAATTGGGGTCCAAAATTAAACTTTGTTTGATTTCATCAAAAATTGAATTATTGGGGTTCTTTGATATGCCAAATCTAACCGTGTTTTTAGATTTTTAATTTGGGTCCCGTTTTTTTTAAATTGGTCTTCATTGAGGTCCAAAGGGTCCAAAATTAAACTTAGTTTGATTTTAACAAAAATTGAATTCTTGGGGTTCTTTGATATGCTGAATCTAAACATGTGTTTAGATTTTTGATTATGGGCCCAGTTTTCAAGTTGGTCCAAGTTTGGGTCCAAAATTAAACTTTTTTTGATTTCAACAAAAATTGAATATATGGGGTTCTTTGATATGCTGAATCTAACCATGAATTTAGATTTTTTATTTGTGGGCCCCGCTATCAAATTGGTTCATATTGAGGTCAAAAGGGTCCAAAATTAAACTTTGTTTGATTTCATCAAAAATTGAATTATTGGGGTTCTTTGATATTCCAAATCTAACCGTGTATTTAGATTTTTAATTTAAGTCCCGTTTTTTAAATTGGTCTACATTAAGGTCCAAAGGGTCCAAAATTAAACATAGTTTGATTTTAGCAAAAATTGAATTCTTGGGGTTCTTTGATATGCTGAATCTAAACATGTGTTTAGATTTTTGATTATGGGCCCAGTTTTCAAGTTTGTCCAAGTTGGGGTCCAAAATTAAACTTTGTTTGATTTTAACAAAAATTGAATATATGGGGTTCTTTGATATGCTGAATCTAACCATGTATTTTGATTTTGGACATTGGACCATAATAGGTAAATTAAAAAAATTCAAGTTTTTAGACCACATTCTTTCTGTGTCAGAAACCTATGCTGTGTCAAATATTTAATAACAATCCAAATTCAGAGCTGTATCAAGCTTGAATGTTGTGTCCATACTTGCCCCAACTGTTCAGGGTTCGACCTCTGCGGTCGTATCAAGCTGCGCCCCAGCGAAGCATTTTATTCCATATATAAAGGGGCATAACTCCAGAACGGTAGGAGTGTGACCACCCAAATTCGAGGCAAACTAAAGTTAGAAAATAGAAACCAATTTTGGTACGAATGGACAAGGGTAACACTTAATGCTCCCTCCGGTGACGACAGGGACATAAAAAAAATTAAAATGACTTAAAAAAAATTGCAGATATGATGAAAATTTATTCCAAAACATCTCAAGGGATAAATACAATAATATCACCACAGAAAGAACAAAGAAAATGGAATGTTGCTAATGAATATCAATTGGATATGGCTTAGAGAAGTCATATTCAGAAGTTGTTCTGCCAAAAATGAAAAAATATGAAATTGAAAATACTATATAACAATTTCAAAAATGTACATAGACGTGTTTAACTGCATATTGCTAAGGATCTCCAAGTGTTTTGCTTTTATATGTTTTACATGTTATTTCTTTGTACTTACTACTTTATCTTTATATAGAAAGAGGTTATACATTTTTAATACCCTTTGGACAGTTCATATCTCATTCTTAATCAGTCTAACATTGTTAAATTATTGAAATGCTGCCGGGTTGATCACCAGTGCTTTTGCTTGACTTTAATATATTTTTTTCCAGTCCACCACCTACAAGGAGAGGATCACCACCTGTTAAACGTCCTTCAAAAGCCAGGTCTAGATCTAGATCACCACATATTAAAAAACGTTCATCAAAAGCCAGGTCTAGATCTAGATCTCCACGACGTAGATCACCAAGAAGATCACCTCCTAGAAGACCTAGGTCTCCACCATACCGGCGTCGTTCACCTCACAGAATATATCGTCCCAGGTCTCCTCCAAGACGCCCACAAGTTGATGACTTTGCAAGAGAACTAGAAAGGGAAAAGGCTAGACAGAGAAGAGAGAAAGAGAGAAGGTCACGGTCTCCTGTCATTCGTCGAAGATCAAGATCTAGGTCACAGAGTAGAGAGAGGAGAAGAAAATCAAGATCTCCTGATAGAAAACACCACCATAAAAGTTCACATGATAAACATTCAAGACATTCATCAGAAAGAAAACATGATAGATGAAATTATATTTAGACCTCATTATCATTATCATTTGTTGTTTAATTATTTGAAAAGACAGGACTGAATCATGATATGTAAAACCTTTCCAAAATATACCTTGGATTATGATGCATGATTTAATATTTGAAGATATAGCCTAACTTTGACAGGTTCTTTAATTGTGACTCTGTGTTAAGTGAAAATAGTGCAAAAAAAAACCAGAAAATAAAACTGTCTTTGGGTCATCATTTTGTCAGTCAGTGAATGTTTTTTTAATGAAGTAGGACATTTGAAATATTTTGTTAAACACAAGTTAAGTCATAAAGGGATTGTGATAATATAAACATCTTGTCCATTATAGATTGGGAAAAGTCTGTGTTGAACTGTTCATCAGAATTTGATCTGTATCTCGAGCCTAAAAAGTTGCATTGGGGTTTTTAAAGCTAATTACTGAGATATTTTTGTACTAACACATGTAGGTATGGGTAGTTGAGATCAAAATAACTTTTAATAGGAAATACTGTTCATGAAAATTTAATGAGTAATTAGATTGAAGAAAACTGCAATTAAACATCTCCATACAGCCTTTTTATGAGATCTCTTAAATGCATAGATCTTGTCTTTTTTTAACTGCATTGAAATAAAACATGTCTTGTTGAATGTATGTAATCTGATGGTTGTGCATCCTTATATCTTCAGATAACACTATAAATGATCCAATCGACCAGGTCTGATAAATATCTGACTTTTATGTTATTACAAAAACCATCAGGTGCAAGTCCATGTAAATTTTTTATAGTCTAGTGGCTGCTTTGTATAAGGGATTTTTTCTTTAAAGATAATCTGTAAAAATGATAGATACTCTAATTACTTTATGAAGTTGTGTCTTTCTGATGAAACTGGACTTTGGCTTAATTTGATTATTACTAATCACAATACATTATTCAGGTAAAGCAGTTTTAGAAGTTAGGTTACTTGAATGAAAGAAATGAAGAAAAAAACCCTAATCTTCCAGCATTAACTTTGGTTTGTTAATGCAAAGGACTCTTAGAGATACTATAGGATTTTTCTATTATCCGATTTTGTTTAAGGTAGCAGATTAAAAAGAATGTCAAACTGGTAAATTGGTGTTGTTTTAGTTCAAAGTGCCTGTTATTGTGTAAATGTCCATTACTGAAGAAGACAAGTAGACAATGAGAAACTTGAAATATTTTACTTATTCTTCCATAAGTCTCAGATCCTTTGCCTTCAACATGTTCAAAGAACCATTTGGACGTAAATGCAGAATTTTGATAGGAGCCAATCAAATGTTTAAATTCAGGTCTTTATCGTTTAAATTGTCATTTACTGTCATTTACTGTTGTTTATGACATTTGTCAAGCAACTTTGATATACCTCTTTAATAGGTTGTCTATTTGTTATTATTTTCTGAGAAGTGGACTTGATAAACACAGACCAACAGTCAAGAAAAACTTTATGTATGCCTGCCACAGCCTACTACATTGTACAAATTTTTCTTTATAGAAAGTTCGAATTATGATCATATCTCATCCACTTATAGTCAATTGGGTCATAAAAAAAATATTTTATTGTTTTAGCTATTCTATCATCCAATATTGTTTATAGTATTTTAATGTTTTTAGAAAACTGAAAATGTGGGAAAATTTCATTTTCATTTTTAACCAGTCATGATGATATGTGCACAGTGAAGAAAACTTGTTTTAAAATGTCAGAATAAATGATTTTTATATACATCTATCTTTACTTTTTATACACCAGTTTATGGGAAGTATTATGGTATACCTTTGACCATCTTTCCGTCTGTTGTCAACACTTTGGACAATAACTCAAAAAAGCTCTCAACAGTTTCATGAAACTTTGGTGAAATGATTATATCTATTGATGTTAGCTCCCTTTTGATTTTTACAAATTTTAGATTTTATGTTACCAGAGTTGTGGAATTTTGTTTATAAAAAAAATGGGTGATTTTCCAGTTTTCTGACTATAACTCAAAAATGCTTTGAACAATTTTCATGAAACTTTGGTTAATTGTTTATGATTTTAAAAACTTCTGATTTTATGTTTTGGAGTATTGGGACTTTATTCATATAAAAGGGGAAAATTCCAGTTTTCAGATAATAACTTAAAAAAGCTTTGAGCAGTTTGACATTGCAGAGTTATTTAAATTTAATCTTTGAAAAATTGTAGAAAACTATCCATTTCTTACACTTTCCACTGTTATAGAATTTTATTAGTCCCCTACCGACGAAGTCGAAGGGGACTTTGGTTTGCACTCTGTCCGTCTGTCTGTCCGTCTGTCCATCCGTCAGTCCGGCAAATCAGCTTTCCACACTTTTTTTCTTCGTTCTTGAAGATATCGATTTGATATTTGGTATATAGTATTCCCATGACAAGTTATAGATCAAGTTCGAATTTTGTTCCAGTCTGATGATATAGTCCAGAGTTATGGACCATAACTCTGGACCATATCTAATGTTAGAGTACTATGTTAAACCATATTTCTGTACAAAGGGAGATAACTCATTTTTTAAAAGACATTCTTTTGTAAATTATTTGAAGAATTTTTTGGCAGGTTTGTATGTTATTTTGTATAAACTAATTTTCTGAATGCTATATATATAAAAAAAATTATGAAGTGAAATCCTTTATTTAGATAATAATCTATTTTTATTAATGTATATATTACATTACATTGTGTAGATAAAAATTGTTGACATTTTATAGATAAGTTACAAATCTATATTAGTTTGTGACAAAAGAAAAGAAAAAATATTTGGAACTATTAATTATATTTGATTATAATTTGAAAATAGATATACACTGTATTACATCATATCTAATCTTCGAGAACTATTAATTATATCTAATGTTAAAGTGTTTTCCACACTTTTTTTCATCATGCTTGAAGATATTGATTGATAATTGGTATACAGTTTAATCATGACAAGTTACACAGATCAAGTTCGAAATTTTGTTTCGGTCTGATAATTTTGTGCAGAGTTATGGTCCTTGGACTTGAAAAATTCATTCATTTAATCAGTTTTCCTCACTGTTTTTAGTCATGCTTGAAGATATTGACTTGATATTTTCTTATTCATTCAACAATTGTGGCCACAAAATTAAACTTAAAAGTTAGCCTAAATAGTGCCAAATTATTTATGTTTTGTGTCAATGGGTAACACTGTGTAAGCATGTTGGTTTTTTTTTTTTTTTTTTTTGAGGGGTGGGGGGGGGGGGGTCTATTTGAACAATGTTAACAGTATTTCTAGTTGATCATGTAAAATCATTTAAAGCATAAAGACTAACAAAAAGGGCAACGGGCGTATCATGCGCTCATGGCGCAGCTCTTTATTTAGTGGCTGAGACCAGGTCAGCAACTGCCATTATTTGATGGATGTTTGGCTCTTTCAACCAGTTTTAGTAATAAACTTTAAAAAGATTTACCTTACAATTGTTTCAGCTGTATGACATTTTGTATGATATCATCTTGTAAAATATGTTTAGATTCTGTTTTCATGAAAACTGCTGAGTATGCAATGGATGAAATAAAAATAGGACATTCTATGAAAAACAAGTCTGTCTTCATAAACTTTGGAGATAACAGTATTGTATATAAAGCTTGGTCTACGTAAAACAGGTTTTACTGCCACAAATTGAGTTTACCTACTGACACTTATAGGAGCTAGGTAAAAAGATATTTACAACAGTAAAACCAAATTATATGTAGGCCAAGCTTAAGATACAATACAGATATCTCAATTCTAATGAAAAAAATCACAAATTGAAAATTCCACTTGTCTTTTGAACTTAACAAGGATGATGCCATCCATAATTCTGGCTTTAACATAAACACCAGACATTTGTTGGCTTATGTACGAATCAGAATAAAATAAAATTTGACAAAAAGGATAATTTCAGGTCAGACATCTGCCTATTTGGTTTATTATTGAAGAAATCGCATACCAATTAATTCTGAAATTCAAAATGGTGGCTCCCCCTAGTACAGACTGGTGGACTGTGGAATTTTAATACCCCATTAAACTATATGATGTTGATTAATCAAGATAACATGATACTTTTAAATGCTCCCAATTACTCAAGATACATGATACAACTATACTAGATCATTTAGAAAGCAAGAATGTCTTTTGATATTAAAATTCATGAACCATTCAATTACAAACGTTACAAAATATCAAAGAGAAGTAAACTTTGCATGCTAGCTTGATTCTTCAATTTATCCCCTCTTAGTGAAGTTTTGGAAAGGATGAAGTAATGTTGTGGTGTGTCAGTAAGTCTGCAATACTTGTAGACATCTCAAAGGTCTGGTCTGGCATCTAATCTTCTTCAAACTTCTTCTATCATGTATAGTGTTGGAATCTTAAATAATGTTAAGGTCAAAGGTTAGGTCGATCATTACTTAGAATAAAGATTTATGGTATTGTAGATACTAGTATCTAATAATTGATTTAATCTTCATGGAACTTTTGTAAAGAGGAGAGAACTTGAATCTATAATTTTAAGGTTATGGTCAAAATATGAACGAGATCAAAGTTTGTAGACTAGATCTTCAGTGATACATAGAATCATTATAGACCATTGTCAAATATTCATGACAATAACTTGAGGTTTAAGTTCAAGGTCACACCATGAACAAGATTTGTAGGCACCACAGAGTTCCAGTCTTAGTTTATCTTGCCTCAATATAATCCAGTTGGTAGAGCTTGAATCCCATTTATAGCTCTCTTTTTTTATGTCTTTCGGGCCATGTGAGCTATTGCCATCACCTAAGGTCTGTTTTAATACGACCGCAAAAAATTTGCATCCGTTCATGTCGTCGTCGGTGGCGTCATTGTCGTAGTTGTCCGAAGACACATTTGGTTTCCGGACAACAACTTTAGTTTAAGTGAATGGATCTCCAATTTTACCAGAAGGTTCAATACCACAATTGGATTGATTTTGGGGATTATGGTACTAACAGTTTAGGAATTAGGGGCCAAAACAAGCATTTTTGTAGTTTCCGGACAATAACTTGTGTGTAAGTGTATGGATCTCTCTGAAATTGTACCAAAAGGCTCCATATCACGAAGGGAAGACTGGGATTGAGTTTGGGGGTAATTGCCTCAAACGTTTAGAAATTAGGGGCCAAAAAGGGGCCAAAAAAGCATTTTTCTAGTTTCCAGACATTAACTTGTGTTTAAGTTTATGGAACTCTCTGAAATTGTACTTTTTTCATGAAAAGAAAATAATCTTCAACACTTTTTTAATTTATGGGGTTCTAACCTTGTATTACTGTTTTGGACATTGGGCACCATTTTTAAATTGGTCTACATTGAGGTCCAAAGGGTCCAAAATTAAACTTTGTTTGATTTCATCAAAAACTGAATTATTGCGGCTCTGTTTTCAAATTAGTCCATATTAAGGTTTGAAGAGTCCAAAATTAAAGTTTGTTTGATTTCAACTTAAAATTAAATTTTTGGTGTTTTTATGCTCCATTATGTTTTTCGGTATGTGCGTTCGTACGTTCGTCCGTCTGTCCCGCTTCAGGTTAAAGTTTTTGGTCAAGGTAGTTTTTGATGAAGTTGAAGTCTGATCAACTTGAAAATTAGTACACATGTTCCCTATGATATGATCTTTCTAATGCCAAATTAGAGGTTTGACCCCAATTTCACGGTCCACAGTACATAGAAAATGATAGTGCGAGTGGGGCATCCATGTACTGTGGACACATTCTTGTTTTACATGCTGAATCTAACCATGTTGTTAGATTTTGGATATCAGACCACACTAGGTAAATTAAATGTCCCATTTCAAATTTTTAAGATCTGACCACATTTATTTTGTGTCTGAAACCTATATTATGTCAAAAATTTTATCACAATCCAAATTCAGACAGTATCAAGCTTGAATATTGTGTCCAAACTTGCCCCAACTGTTCAGGGTTCACCCTCTGCGGTCGTATAAGGCTGCGCTCGGTGAAGCATTTTATTGTAATGAACTTGATAACGTCTCCTCTTTAAACACATCCAATTTCAGCCAAACTTGGGCATAAATTAATGATCCTTATGGCAACTTGTAAAGAGTTTGTCATATTTGTTCGTGCTAATCAACTAAGTAAACCATGGTTAGAAATATAACATAAGGGTAAATAGTAAGTAACTGTTTAACATATTGAGATCAACAATAAAGAAAACCTGACTGTGCAAAAATGACGTAAACTGTTTACCGACTCCGTATGAGTAGCTTTTTTCTTGAAAACTATTATAGAGAAACTAACCCGCAAAAAAAAACAAAAAAAACAAGAGTGCACACGCTGAAATGTCTCGCCTTCTATACTGACCATTGATTTTATGTTGATAGTCCTACATATAAAGTTTTACTACAAGTATCACAACAACATTTATGATCCAAGAAAATGAAGTCAAGGTCAGATAAACCTAGACGAAAATACATGTACACCTTTAATATAATCATTTCCATACACAGAATATAGATGACCTATTGCTTATAGTATAAAAGAAACAGACCAAACCATGGAAATTCTATATTGACCAATGAACCATGAAAATGAAAGGTCAGATGAACCCTGCCAGACAGACATGTACACCTTAAAATCATTCCATGCATCAAATATAGTTGACCTATTGCTTATAGTATCTAAGAAACAATTTTAACCAGGAAAACTGAACATTGACCAATGAACCATGAAAATGAGGTGAAGGTCAGATGAT